TACCTGGACTAGTCCGTTCCGAGTGGGGAGGTGTTAAGGCAAGATATAGTGTGATTCATAAAGACATCTTTTGCTGACATTGCATTTACAGGATATAGTTTATAAAAGCCGTTCATAAAATAGAGTAGTTATTCTAGCTTAAGACTAGACCTAGTATAGTTTGTACTTTGTATTAATAAACTTTTTTTAAAAAGTCTTTGTTCCAATTTTGGAATATAACATATATATATTTTTTTTCATTGGTTATTTAAAATTAAGTTATCTGATATTCAGCGCCAGTAACTGAAAGGTTGTTCAAATGTTTAATACCTTTTCTTCTTCTTATTTTTGGGTCGTTTGCAACATTTGAGGCATATCACTTTTAATGTTGTTATCAAAATTGTTATTATTATTCCGCATATTAAAACCCAACAAATTGTATCAAAAGGTAACCATTCTGTTGGATCTACATCACCAACGGGGGGTGCAAAAGTTGGTTTGGCTTCGTATCTGTGCGTTCTAAAAATCAAAATTGAAATTAGAAAACCAAAATGTTTGCTTAATATTTGTAAAATTGTAAGAAGTGTTGCCTTATTTTTACGATATTTTTTTAATCGGCCTAATTTTTATGATAATATAATGTCAATAAATTATTACGTGAATTAAAAATTTTTTTAAATTTTGGATAATAAGCCGCATATAGGCGCACTTTCGTAATAATGCTTGATGTGTTGCATACATGCTTCTTAGAGGATTTAAATTGACGCAAAAAGTTACATGTATTTTTATACATAAAAGTCGTAAGTGCAATTTGTTATTCAATCAATAATTTAAAAATTATTAATTCTTTTATAGTCAGTATGAACTTTTAGTTTTTTTTAGTTTTACTTTCTTACTTTTCTGTTACGTTTTGAAAATCATCTAAAGCTTCGTTTATTTCTCTTTCTAAATCATTTCCTAATTGATGAAATACAGTTTTTCCAAGCCAATCTGCTAAATCGTCTCTCCCAATTTGACGAAGTCTATGCAATAAAATTTCGTGAGTTTCTCCTTTCCCTTCTCCCGGAGTTGAATTCCAGTGCAATAATAATTCCAAACAGGTTGGATCGCTCGGTACCTTATTTTCTAAATGTTAATTTATTTTACTAAAATACCATTTAACACGATTAAAAATAATGTTTTTACCCGCTAAATCTAAAAGACAAGGCTTATCGTACGATTTAAAGTGTAGTGCCGCTACAAGTCTTTTGCATTCTTCTTTGTGGAGATGATCTGCTAAATATTGTAGCTCAGGAAGGTTTAAATCTATCGTAGAGTTGCAAAAATTAAACAAAACAGTTACCACTATATAATAAATTAACAAATATCGACACAGTTTGTTCCAAACATTNGCATACATGCTTCTTAGAGGATTTAAATTGACGCAAAAAGTTACATGTATTTTTATACATAAAAGTCGTAAGTGCAATTTGTTATTCAATCAATAATTTAAAAATTATTAATTCTTTTATAGTCAGTATGAACTTTTAGTTTTTTTTAGTTTATTATATGGTTTTAATAAATATAAATAGTTGTTTATATTGATAACTTTGCTTTATTATTAATTTCCAGTTTCATGTCATCGTCCTTTACGTTTTATATCACTTGTTTTCTTTTTAGGCTAGTTCTTCAGACACTATATACGGTGATAAGTTTCAGAGAGAGCTCAAGACAGTTTGAAAGCGATCTGGGCTTTAAGATTTCCAATTTTACAATTATTTTGGCATTTTTGTCCCCTTTCTTTACCTTCCTGATCAACGAAGCCATAAAACGTTACGAAATAAAGTAAGTCTTTTTTTTTTTCACTTTTTTTTTGTAATTTGTAATATTTTATAGGACAAATGCTCGTTATCAAAAAAGAGCTAGACTCGATTTTGGAACTAAACTAGGAATGAACTCGCCATTTTAATTTATTCAATATACATACATCATAGGTTGTCTAAAATTTTTTTTATCACATGTTAGAAAGTTAAATTTTAAAATAATTATGCCGAAATACGAAGTCTTCGTTGAAAAATTTAGACATGTATGTTTGAGGCATTTATTTTTGACATAATTAGGAACTGTTTATTGAAATGGAGTAATAACATCCTCATATACATAAATTTATTTAATTATAAATTATTAACGAAACTGTACTAAAATATAGATTGCTCAAGAAAATCAGTCCTTATGAAAGATAACGGTTAAAATGTTGATCGCATTTTACAATAATGTGTATTATATTAACGTAACATGTACTATATTAACATAACAGTCTTGGTGTATTCGATGTGTTCATTTTTTGTAAAAATTTACTTTAAAATTGATTGAACTATTTTTCTAAACTGTTATGTTTCTTCGTATTTCACTAATGGTCTCATAAAAGAACAAACGGACTGTTTTTAAGTAGTTGTCGAATTGTACAGAAATATGTTCTTTTTTTCTGTATGAAAACCTGACTAAAACCTTTTTATCTCAAAATAATTGCATTATTATTAATTAAGTCACATAAAAATCTCACCACATCTTCCCAAAAACAGTAAAAAGGAATTTTAGGAAAAATTAAAAAATTTCTTTTATTGTCATAACACAATCAAACGTCAATAAGTTAACAAATTATTTTTATTATCACACAATCAAAATTGTTACAATAAAACTTTGTTTAAAACAAAAAAAAATTAAAAGAACAAACATTAAATTTATAATTACTAAGATTTTATTAAAAACGTATTAATATTTTGTAAGTAGAAGGTTAGTAAATAGANCTTGCCACTAAATTTAATCTATGCAGTAAATCTAGAATTCAAACAATTAAAGTAATTCCATTAATAAAAGAAAGATAGTAATATTTAATCTATTCAAGTATTTCTAAAAATAATTTAAATTATTTATCTTCTTAGAGATCTCAGTAATAACCTCATGAAATCTGCTATTAAAGTAATAAATACATAAATAATACAGTTTCTAGAGGATTATATAACTTTCAATAAATAACAAATTACTTTGTTTAAAAATATTTCTCCACCAGCTAGTTTTTATTCAACTTTATTAAAAAAAGAATAATGATTTAAAAAATATCGAACAGCTGTTGCGGAGACACTATTAGGTCGAATAATGCAGAGACATCTAACGTTAAAACTTTCAATTTATTCGTCAAATTTTGACGTTTGACAGCTGTTGATCTTAAAAGCACAGGTATGTTGTTAAAATAATTACATTAATCAATTATCATCCCTATTTAAAGTAAATATAAAGAGAATTTGTAATTGTTAAGACATTTAAATTGATATAATTGTTAGTTATGTTAAGGTAAATTTTGAGGTTTTCATGTTAAAGTCTTCATAACCTATTTTCAGGTAGTACTTCTGTAGACTAGAAGATTAAATTTGCATCATGGTAAGTGCATTTTTTGAAATGTGTTGGTTATTTTTTACATTTCCTTTCCTATTTTAGCCACGAGAAATTACAGAAATAAAGGACTTCCTCTTAAAAGCAAGGAGGAAAGATGCCAAATGTAAGTTTTCTTTTTAGTTTATTTGTAAGGATATGGTTCTATGGCTTTTCAGGGTTAAAATTTTTGATCAGTACCAATATTTAATTAGTAGTTTCATTAGCAATTTTGTAGTTTGGTTGTAATGCAGTGCATAAATTAAATGTGTTTTTCTTGTCTGGGCTGTACTTCAATTTCATTTTTTTTTTGTTTGTAGCTGTAAAGATAAAGAAGAATTCAGATAATGTAAAGTTTAAAGTACGTTGCTCGAGGTTCCTGTACACCCTTGTCATTACTGATAAGGAAAAAGCAGAAAAGTTGAAACAATCTTTACCACCAGGTAGATTATAAATAGTCGGTCATTTATTTAGCAATTCTAATGTAATGAATTTACTTTTAGGTCTTCAGGTAAAAGAAGTTAAGTAGCAGTTAACAATAAATGTATAAATAAGTTCAGTGTTTTTTATTTTAATAATTAATACTTTCATTAAAAGAACAATGCCAATTTATTTGTACTCTGCTTGCATTATTTATAGTAGACTATTCATGATTGCTACTAATCATTAAAAACAAACGTAGAAGGTCTAAAATGACTATTTTTTTTGTATAAAAACTTTCATGGCTAAAACATAACTTAAAAAAATTAAGTTTCATTAAAACATATGTATAAGTTACTTTAAAAACGTTGATTTAAAATTGAATAGCTATTTTCTTTTGCCTAAAAATAAATAGGTTTTTAATGTTTAAAGAAATTAGTGAAAAAAATGAATGAAGTTAAATCTGCGCTTCTTACAAAGCACGTTAATAATTTGCACTTGCTGTTTAAAAACGTAAATAAAAATATAAACACATTCTTACTAGCTAAGAAATCACACACGAATCTCATACATTATCTGGCAAGTCTAATATTTCCGAAACGTAAGAAGCCACGTCGGTTTCTTTTTCTTTATGTAGAAGACAAAACGGATGCTTTAATAATTGATCGTAGTTTAATCGATCAGTATATTTTTTCTGTAAACATTTGGATATAAAATCCTCAAATTCAGGGGTGAACTCGCCAGTAGGCAATCTTGGTGGATCATCTGTTACCACCTGTTTTAACTGTTCAAAAGGTGTTCCCCATTTTTGGTATGGGAAATTACCTGTTGCCAATTCAATCATTGATATCCCAAAACTCCAAACGTCTGAACGAATATCATATTGAGACGGATTGCCTTCTGGATCTATTCTTTCAGGCTAATTTAAAAACAAATTTTTGCTTTTAATTCCCATATAGGTAGTTTTTTTGAGTAAATGATTTNGAGACAATAAAAATGTGCCACTAATATTAACAACATTAGGAAGATCACAAAAATGACAGTATAAATAATTAATTGTTAATCAATGGTATTTAATCTGTTTATTGTAATATCAGTTCGTCGATTTAATATTTCAATAACTTTTCTTGGAGGAAAATTGATCACACCAACTTCCTTTAATGCCTGTGGTCTTTGGTCTTCAACTCCTGTTGCTCCTTCCAGAGCTATTAAAGTTTCTCTTAATAAAAGAGCAGATCCCTTTGAAAGATTCAAAAGCGAACAGGTTTCCTCCATTCTGAAATATTTAATGCAGTACATTACTTTCATTATCAGATAAAAGTTAACCCTTATATTGAGACTAGTATATGTAGAATTGAATTAAAACTTGCACAAAAATAAAAAAAAAAAAGAAACCGATGCAATTAAGATTTTCAGCTCATATCACAAAATCTCTGTACATTTAGAGCAACCTTATAGAAAGATAAAAGTAAACGTAAATGTAAAAGTTTATTAGTTTTACAATGCCTTTGACTTACCTCCAAAAATAAATTTCTGGACTATTCGTATATTGTGAAAAAAGAGGAAATAAATTCCTTGTTATATCATATTTAAGTTGTAAGGCACCGCCTTCGTTGAATCTGTTTTCCATTACTAATTCGTCGAAAAAGAATTCGTCCAATTTTTTTGCCAAATTTTTCCATGTAGCCGCAAAAAGTTTACTAGTTAATTTCTTTTGTAGTTGATGTAGTCTAATAGCTAATATTTCAAATATTGGACATGCAGATGGAGTTAAGGAAAAACTGCGAATATCTTTATACTTTGTAATTGAGCCCCACCTTAAAGTATATTAATTTATATGTATAGATCACATTAAAAATTTAATTAAAAGCTTTTGCAAAAACTCAATAAGTTACTATTTTATTAATTTTAAAATTTGTTGAGTTTCAATTGAATTGCAAATAAATAAATTACTTTAAAAACTTTTAACTTAGAACATTACATTATTATTTCATTGTTTAATCAAAGAAGATTATGTTTGATATTTTCACCTACGCTTCGTGTCTGTAGTCTCTACTTCTAGCTCTGCATTCCATAAAAACGGATTCTGATATGTTGCATATTAAATCAATCCGCATGTGACGATATAAACTTAACGTATCTGCGAACACTGAGTCTGTGTCTACCTCGGTTAAAACATTTTCTTCGTTTGCATCACAAAAATCCACTGAGTTGTTCATACATTCCGCATCTTTTAACTGATTTTTGTAGTAGAACAAGTTTAAAAAATGCTAAAAAATAATTTATGGTTTAGTTTTTTGATCTTAAAGTAAATACAGAATGGAGATGAAAACAAAACAGACTTACTAACATTGATCCCCAATCTATCAATACGTTTTCGATATAAAATAAGGTGTTGACAATCATGGGAACTCTGGATTCGACTATGTTTCCCTCTTCTGCATGAACCAATTGCAGAAGCCTTACTCTAAAGTCGTCCAGCAGTTCTAACTGCAACTCTAAGAATTGCAATCGATGACCGGGTTGAGGTAATAATTCATATCTATCAGTCATTGTTTGCAATAAAGTTATAAACATGTCAGCACACGTTGTTACTTTAAAGTCGTCGATATCAGTTAAAATTGGTTCAAAAGCTTCTGGAGAATTAGGTGACAACATAAGATCCATTTTTTCAGTGGCGTCTTTGGTTCAAAGAAACCGTATTAGGTGTACATTATTTTTTTTTTCATGTAATTGTTATAATTATTTTTCTGTTCGTAATGTCGACTTTTATAAATATACTTACATTTTTTTTCCATTGATAGCCATTTAACAAATATTTGTGGTTGTGTGAGAACACAAAGTATTCCAGGTTGAATTGGTGGATAGCCATAGCTCTCTCGTAGCTCTTTATCAAATCCTAAAGCCTCATCAACGCTATGGGAAAAGGTGAAATCATCATACTGTAATGTAGGTAAGTCAGAATTTAGTTTTTCTACTGCTAACTGAATTAATCCTCGCATCAATTCAATCTACATGAAAGTAAAAATTAATTTTATTAGAAATTACTTAAGTAAAATGTGACAATTTACTTTTGTATCAATATAGTGCATCCCCATTCTGTCAGCTACAGGTTGAATCCATTTTTCAACAAACTCACTATGATCTCTAATCCAGGCAAGTATTTGGGTGAAATACCTGAACATGAAAAGAGAAATTAAAAACAAAAAATAGATTATCAACTTAAGATAACCAACCATTCAGGTTTGTCAACACGATTGGTCTTTCGTGGACCATAAAAGTGATACAAAAATCGTTTCCTAAGAGGGCTAATCATCAGTTCTAAGGGTAAACATAAAGGCATAAAGTCAGAAAGTATACCTGACTTTTCTTCCCCAATTTTAATTTCCTCAGGTGGTTGAATTTGCAAAAGATACTCAACTACAATCTGCAGTTTATTTATATTATTCTGGGAAGGTTCTTGCAGAGAAAGATTAACATTTACAAATGGCCATTTTACTGTTTTTAACACCTCTTCAAGGTCTCTGAAATTTTTATTAAGTTACACTAGCAAACCTCAAGCATTAAATGTAACAGTGCTACTTTTGCTCAATGTATTTTGTGATAAAAATTAAACACTAATTAATGTGGTCATACTTAGTAAATTTCTCTTTTAATAGATTATGCCAATGTAGTATAACTTCCTTTAGGTGTTCCCTTAAATTACGTGCTGTAGAGTTATAAAGGTGCCTGTTAATTTCACATAGATTTGCATAAATTGTTGCACACTGTTCATCATCTTTTTTTGCCATTTCTTTTTGAAGTGCTACACTAAAATTATTGATTTTAAAACATGTTGTTTACTAACATTTATGATACGTACTTTAACTGCTCTATCCGCTCTAAAACTTTATAATATTGAAGTGTACATTCTAATCTATTGAGTTTATCTAAATTTGATTCAAAATATGCCACTGGCTCTCGAAACTTCTCTAAATATTGATCTAATACATTTGTTACCGTTTCAGCCTCTTCTAAAACAGTTTTAATTTTTTCTGCATTACTTTCAATGTTTCTTACAGACTGTGCTATAGACGAAGAATCGTTGTTTAAATCTATCTAAGATTATAAAAGGAGTAATTTTAATAAAAGAGGCAGCAAAATGTTACTTATATTTACCTCTTCGCGAAGACATGCCACTTTTTTTTGATATTTTTTCTGTAGTTGTCTACATGTCTCAGGGTCTCTAAGATCATCACTAAAGCCTTTATAAAAGTTTTTTAAGACATCCTTATGAATATGGGCCATTTTGCAATTACCATAACCCTAACACTAACCTCTATAATGTGTATCTTATCACTAATAATTACTGCTTCTATAAACTTTCGCTAAAAAAATATTAACAAACGATATAAATAAAACTATAAGCTATCTTCCTAGAATAATATGCCCTTTGACATGTACAGGTTAATGGATTATTGAAGTGTCAAGCATATCAAGTGTCGACATCGAGTGTTATACCAGTTATACATACTGAGCAGGAGCTTGATACCACCTGACACATTAAACACTACTTACACATAACCTGTAATTTTTAAATAATTTTCTGCTGTTATAAAGTTTAGTATCAAACACATTACAGTGTAATTAGTTATCAAAAATGTGAAAAGGAAGCCTCATGTGCAGTGTAGTAATAGTTATTGTACAATAAAAATGAATTAACCATGGATGCAAAAAATTGTGAGGAGACAGGTCTTGCAACCTCTGAAGCTTTGTACAAACTGCAAAATGAAATAGAGCAAGTCCTTATTCAGTTTAAATTATCGCAAAAATCTCGGTAATCCCCTATTTAAATCTAATATGTATAATTGTTACACTTAATTTTAGTAATTCTAGGTCATGGTTGTTTTCTGCACTTAATCATTCTAGTCAACATACTACCATCAACTGGGTCTCAACACTATTATTGATTCTCTCATCCTTTTTATTTTTGTTTTCCTATTTTATTCATCCTGTGACAGAGGTTTTGATTTATCAGTCAGTTTTTATTTTAATTTTAACAATAATTAGTATCATAATTGAAGTAAATGACAATAAATTGAGACATAATGAAATATTCAACAGAGCCCAAAATCTACTACAACAACTACGAACTGACTGTAAAAATTTAAAGTGGGTCACATCAAACTATCCTCATCTCTTATCTCCCTATTCTCCATGCATTACTCTACAGTGGACTTATAGAGATGGTAAATTAGTTAATTTACCATGGGCTCTTTTGGTAAAAGGTGATTTGATATTGATACGTCCTGGTCAGATAGTACCTGGGTACTGTGAGGCAGTAGATAAAAATTCTGATTTTCCTTTGTTACATTTGAAAGAGGTTTACGGGCCATCGTTGCCTACAGCCAATGAATTCTTTAGTGTGGCAAAAATGAGGAAACCGTTACAAAACAAAAAGTACAGACTTTTAGAAACACCATATTTGCATAATCTTCGAATTGCTTTAGAACAGTCATTAGATCGACCAATCACCCAATATAATCAGCAAAGACATCTTTTGATGATCAAAATTGGCGAACAGTTCATTGTGCCTTCTGTCTTAGTTATAATTTATGTAATAAATTTTGTACGGTACATGTATTTGGAGCATTATATAGGAAGCGTTCATTGGATAGACTCTTTCGTCTTAGTACCTGTTTGTACTGTTTTACCTTTATTACCCATTATTTTCCCTATATTGTGGAACCTCTTGAATTGTTATGGAATGGCAAGGTAATTTATAGTGAATAACTTTTTATTACACTATTTAGCAGGTATACCAAACAGTATATTTTTAACCGTAAATTTATAGTGCTACAAATTTTTTAAAATTTAATTAGAAATCGGGTATTTACGAAATTACATCCGAAAATTGTAAAAAAGTCATATTGGGCAGACAAAAAGATCAATTTTTGCAAGCTATAAAGAACATTCATTTCAGATACAATTAAATAGAGTATAAGATTCCCATGCATTTTTTTCACTAAGTAGACAAATGACGCTCTTT